CCCCAAGATTATAATGGAACTAATGATTTCCTGTCCGCTAGTCACAGCATCATAACCATCCTAAGGTCCTTCAGCAAAGCATTGCTCAACATTTGTGGTGATACATGAACAAACGTGCTCTGCTGCCAGACACTGAAAATACAGCACATGTAAAAAATAGGAGAATGGATGAATGAGTTACTGGTTTAAGTATTTACCATACTTTTGATCATGTTAGATAGAGTATGTTAGTGTTTATTTAAAAATGTGTGCTGAAAAAAAAAATTAAAAAAAAAATAAAAATGTGTGCTGTAACACAGCAAGACGTGACACTGGCAGAGCTATTTTTTACATCTTGTGTTTTATTGTCTCTTGATTTCATCAAGAGGCCACTTGGAGTGGTTTATCCCATTACTAATTGGGTTTGTATAAGGATACTATGATTTTGGCCCAATAACAAAATTGCTTAACTAAGATTCTGTCCTAGCTGTTAGGTGATGGCACACCCTGTAATATAAACAAAAAATGTTATCTACATATTGAGAGAGCTAAAAATAGAATTAGAAAATAAATCAGAGTGTACAGGGTGTATAGTAGTAACTCAGGTAAATATCTTTAGTTACTTATTAAAATAACTGTGAACTTTAAAGCAGCTATGATAGGTAAATGCAATGTCTTCTGAAGAAAAGCATACTAGATCCTTGTTTTGAAATCTAAGATAAATTTACACTAAAATGAACTTACCATAAGTGAATTTAGTACTAAAGTGCTCTTGCCTTTCAGTCTTAGTTTCTGGTCTGTACGACAGTAGTGCATCATTTATCTCTCCACGTATATGTGATGTGCCACCCAGATCCCTCCTTGGGACAGACACTAGGACCCACAGCTGCCTGCAGCACTGACTGCTGATGGTTTCTGGTCAGATTCCTCCCAGGAGTTTTCCTTGTTCAATATGAGGTCCAGTTTCTGGTCTTGACTGTCAGTGATGAAATACAAAAGTCAAGCCTCAGTTTAGGAGGCTTGTCTCAGTTTTGGACAGCTTCTGAAGGGGCACTTAAGCCCTATTCCTCACTTTCGGATTAGGCCCCTGTTGACAAAAATGTCCTATATCAGTTCTTTCCTTTGTTCAGCCCTGTGTCTCAGTCTCAAATGTGGTTCCTAAGAGCCACCTGGGGGTAAAAAAAACCCTACACACACTGTCCAAGTTTGTTTCTTGTGATGTTTTACCATTGTAAGGAAAAGGAGTGATAAATGTAGACTGCATAACTCAGACCTCAGCACACTGAGAGTACTCAGGAAATAGTTTATTTTATTACGATTTAATGAACCACATAAGCAAAAGGTTTGATTTTTAGTTTGTTTTTATTTTTAAGTACTATGGGGCTTGAACTACAAAATTAAGATAATCATATGGTCAGTTTGTGAAGAAATAAAGCAGCCTACTGAGCAATTTCCTTTTTTTTTTTTTTTTTTTTTGGTGCCAAATTAGGGCATAGGCATTGTCCCTGGGCTTTTTTGCTCAAGGCTGGTCTATCACTTGCGGCACAGCTCTGCTTTGGGCTGTTTGGTGTTTAATTGGAGGTACGAGTCTCGGGGACTTTGCTACCCCAGCTGATTTCAAACCATGATTTTAAGATCTCAGCCTCTTTGAATAGCTGGGATTATAGGCTTGTTACTGGCACCTGGCTTCAGTTTCCTTTTTAAGCAGTAGTCTGTTGATAGAAAGTCACCTTGTATTTGGCAAGCAGTACAAAGCTGTGCTTGCATATACAGTGTACATATTAGGGGCAGTTCAACTTTCATTTTTATACTTGGTTATCTGTGGAACAATTAGTTCATGATGAAAGTTGTATGGAGACTTTTAGAAAGGATTAGTTTTCCTGTTAGGCTGGAAATCTTTTAGTCTGTTTAACTAATTATCTTGATTGTGTTTTTAGGTATCCGTGTACTAAAAAGTTAAAACTTTTTAATGTTATCTGACTAACATTTGGAGTTAGTGCCTCAAGGTGTGAAGTTTTGCTAACAGCAACTTTAGAGATTGATGAAATAGGTCAGGATGCATTGTACTCATAGTGATATGGTGAATTAAAGCCCTTTTGTACAACTACTTAAAGATAATTATAATAAATTTAAAAAAGAAATAAAATCACCTGTAAGGCAAGTCAGTTCTTTACCAAGCTGGTTTTGGCCCTGTTTCAGGTGAGGAGAAGGTTCTTGACAAATGTTATCTGCCTGTCTTTGGTACTATAATTACCTATTGCTGTTTTTCCCTAGAATAAGTGTTAAGTATGCACTAATTTTTTATTTAACCTATCTTGTTCTAAATAGGGAAGGCCCAGGTGCCTCGTTATACAGCAGGTAGCATGTGAGCCCTTAGGAGTCTATGTCTAGAAGGATTCTTGCATCCCAAAGAAGCTCCTCCACATAAACATGTGGCCTAGATGTGAGTCTTAGAGTGTTTTTACAACTTCAGGTAATTCTGTGAGTATCCATGTGCAGCATAAAAGTATAGAGCTAAAGGCTGTATGGTCACATGAATTTTGTTCATGAGCAGAGGGCAAAGTTTATTTCTGTCAGTATTGCCCTCCTTGGCGGCTTTTTTCTCTTTGTAATGTGAATGGGCAAGACCTTCAGCAGTTAGCATGAAGCAACCTAGGACTTGATATTCATTATTCGTTGAGAACAAAAATTTCCTGAATTACATATAATATGCAAGAATCTTAACTTATGAAGATAGTCCTGACTAGTTATAAACAGAGTGAATCTTTCATAGCTTGTTTATGAGTGAAGTGCAAGCTGATAGGAGTCAGTCCTGGAAAGTTTCCCACAAGACTGAACTTCCAGGCAGGTAGAGCTCTTTCTGATGGTCATTCTGTTTGTCCCTATTTAAGTCCAGAAAATAATTGAGTCTTTTCCTTTCTTGATTTTATTCTTGAACATTTTATTTATTTGTTTTGTTTGTAAGGCGTAAGAAATAAAATTGGGATAGGGCTGATTTCAGAGTTTCCTTTGGCATCTATTTGTCCCCTTTCTCCCTTGTTAAAAAACAATTTGCTTTGCTAGTTATACCTGTATTTACATTTTCTACCTTTTTTTTTAACTCTTGCAATTTTTAGAAGATACCAGAAGCCCTGTCTGTTTTGTACTTTTTTATAAAGCTAATCTGTTGTAGCTAAATAATGAATTTCTTTGATTCCTTTGCAAAGAAAAATTTGATTGCCTTGCTAGTGATATGCTACTTTGAAATTAGTTTTATTTATTTATTTAGTAAGAATATATTAAATCATTGTCATGTGCCGAATCTAGTAGAATAATTTTTAGGTAACATCGGTTCCTCGTTTGTTAAGCAAGGATTTTGGACTAGATGATCTTTAATGTTCGTTTCCATTGAAATCTTCTTTGGAGCCTGGTTTGCAGTTAGAGCCTCCACCTCCTGTAGAACCTTATACATCATTACAGGAAGTTTTCTGAAGAGACATTTGGCAAGAGTAGTGATATGGATAGGGGATGAAGGGCATCAGGAGCTACAGGGAAGTCATATGATTTAATGACAAATTTGAGACCCATTCTTAGTAATGAAGATATAGGTGACTATGATGGAAGTTGAGTGGAGTAATAGTTCAGTCTGTGACTTGGGTGAGTAGCCATTTCTATTCCTAAGACACTCGAGTCATCAAGTAGTGTTGAAATTGTAGGACGTGAGAATTTAGTCATGGGAACTTACAGAGTAGTTAGTCAGGAGTTATTTTCCTGTTCTTATTTTTGGGATATGTGGATTTTCTTGTTTTAAGTTGTTACCTTGAGTAACGTCTCTGACCTCTATATCGATAAATCAGACAATGGGTGATAACGTATTGTTACTTGGAAGAGGTAACCACCATAAGGTATGAATTTTAAAATATTGCTTAATTACCCTTTCACAAAAAAGATTTTTTTTGCCTAACACGTGGAAAAACTGCTATATTTTTGTGAAGAGTAAAGAGCATTCCTACCTTTACTGATAGAAATCATTTCCTCATCAAACGGGAAAGCTAGATGTGGTTGTTCACAACTGAAGTACTACCTGCTTGAGAGATTGACTTGGGAGAATATCTCCATCTCCAGAGTTTGGGGACATCCTGGACAACGTAGCAAGACCTGTCTCTTAAAAAAGAAAGAAAGAAGGAAGGAAGGAAGGGAGAGAAAGGAAATAAAGAGAGGACTTTGGCTAATTTATCCTTTAAGAAAAATATTGATGTGCTTTATCAAAATGAGTAGGATGCTGAGCAAACTAGTTAATTGTATGTAAACTGGTTGTGCCAATCTTTAGAATATCTTATAAAGCCTGTAGCAAATTAAGTGTATCTTATTTTAAGGTTTCTGACTCATAATGTTACGTTCATTCACGGAAGATGAATCTACATAATATAATGGCCTCCTCATTGAGTCGATGTACTCCTGAGTAGCTAGGATTGCAGGCATGAATAACTGGTGCCCAGCTTTGGTTTTGTTGGTTTAAAAGGATTTAGATAATTGGCAAGTCTGTTTCCAAATATCATTGTACAAGAAAACCTAATCAAATAGATAATAAGAGTTCTGCCAACCCCAGATGGTTATCTTTAGGTGACTTTTTAAGTTACAACTCCATATCAAAAGATATGACTAGAAATTTATACTTTTATTTTAACATCTCTCTTAGTGTGCATAGAATGTGTTAATTGTTAATTTCTGCTATTTAAGGTTTTTTTTCCTACTCATTGTACCAACATACAGCTAAGCAAAGACACTGTCTTTCTTAAAGATGTTAAAATACTCGATATTGTTGATGCTTCAATTAACTAACAGTGAATAGCAATAGCTACGATGGTAGTAACCTTAGTTTAAAGGAAAAAAATTCATAAAGATGTTTGTTGCTTCAAAATACCCATCTGCCTACTCTGAGCTATTGTTTTAAACATTTTTATAAAAAAAATCAGCCACTGGAAATTTATCCCCAGTGTAATCTCCCTCTGTAGAGAATAATATGTGATTTTTTTTTAAAAAAGGCTTTGTTTGTAAGTGTTATCTCTAATGATTAGGGTGAAAAGAATAACAGATTTAACATGATTAGTTGGCAGAGGGTTAAGGTAAATAATGCAATTTGCTTCTAGTATGGCCAATTTGACAACTACACTTAAATCTGTTTCACTGCTGGTTTTTCTTATAACATTGTCTCCTGCTATTATAACTAAGCTGTCCTCCTAAAAATCCACTTTTTCCTCTGACATCTCAGACTGATCAAGGCACTGTTTTCTAAATAGCACATTTATGTAGCTTTTCCTTATTATATGCTCTGTCCCACTGACAGTCATTTCTGTTAGAACGGTGGTTTTGTCATGTGGTTATTTTATGATTGTATAAATGGAAAAATTTAGAGAAAGTTTTAGAACCAGTAATATAATTGGTTGGCCTATGCTTTTTTTTTAAAAAAAAAAAGATTTGTTTAGTTCTTTTCTACATTCCCATCCAGGGAAGAACTTAATTCTTCCTATTTCCTGGAAGACACTGAAGCTAACGTAATCCTGATCTCACCTCAGAAGTAGCTTAGTAATGTCAGGAAGGGCTTTGATGAAACCACTGGCCCGCTTATCAACCTTATTTCCCAAGCCTTTCATGATTTTATTTGCCCTTTTCTGAACTCTGCAATTTCCCTCTCTTGTAGCTGGTTCGATGCCCAGAACTGAATGCTGTGCTCCAGCTGTGGCCTCACCGGTGCTGAATAGAGAGGAAGAGCCACCTCCATAGCTTACATGTGATTCCTCTGCTTATACAACCCAATACTGGATTTACTTACTTTGGCAAGATAGCTGCATTGTGCACTGTATTTAATGTTACGTGTACTGTAACCCTGGGTCTTTCTCTGCATTGCTGCCGTTAAACCCCCAATCCTGCCAATCTAAAACTCCTGCCTTTGTTTACCTACCCTCTCCCCCGTAGCTCCCCCCATACATTCATCCACAATGAATGTCATCCTTTTATTCTTTCATTTCCTTTTACTCTAATCTTAAACTTTGGCAAACTTTCACTGTTTTATAAATTGTTGGTTGTCAGCCATCTTATTTTTCTCCTTATTCTGGTAGTGGAACATCATCTCTTTCTTTTCTTTTTGAAGTCATTAAACGCTTGATAGGGTGGATTTAGTAAGGATTCACCTGGTGTTTCTTCCAACTCAAATACCCAGGAAATTCTCTGGTTTGACCCATTGATGCAGTTGTTACTTATTCTTGAGTTTCTATTGAGATTTTCTTGACTTCTTGTCGCTCTTCCTGTGGCTTCATTCAAGATGGATTTTCTTACAGCTCTTCCTCCAGGGAAGAGACAAGAAGACAGTATCAGTTTATTGGAGGAAATTTCTACCAATACCTTTTAATTTCAAAAGTATAGTCTTTAATAATTTTAAGCAAATCCTTTCCCCTTGAGATCTTAACTTTGAGAAAACAAGTAGAGTTTAAGTTCCTATAATTTCTGAGATAAATGAGGGTAAAGGGAGAGGGAACAGAGTTGAACAGGACCTGTTTCTCCAAGAAAGCTAATTTGAGGCTCTTGTTGGAATTGGTAGCTCTCTGGAATAGAAGATGTGACCTTGTTTTCCCTAGATTCTGGAGCATTTTTATTGTAATTTCAGCTTTAGAGTAGAGTTTTAAGTTAGTTTATTTATGACTGTTGACACAGACACCCACTCTTAAAATTACATGCTTTGGTTAATCATTTAAAATGTGGAATGTGTAACCTTTTCTGATTTACTATGGGTGGTAAGAGTTGGAAAGTCTCCATATGCCCTGTTTATTCATTTTGAAGTTCTCAAGTTTAACTGAATCCCAGTGTTTCTTATGGTGGCAGACAAGTGATGTTTGAGGGGTTGTTTGGTTGTTGTTTTATTCTCTCTTAGTTGATATGTTCCATTTAAACATCTTCTCTTTGCATTTGCAGTCTTTATACAAATATTGGATTTGCAGTCTTTTACATATATTCATTTGTATCTTGAGACAGTAAAATCAATTTGGAAATCATTTTAACGTAGCAGTGGACCAGATTACTCTCAAATTTACAAGTTACTGAAAACATCTTTCCTTCAGGCATCTGGTAGATATTTTACATGTCAGCATATTGCACTATAAAAGTGTATTACAAAAGTACATTATAAGTAAGAAGTGGCAAGATCTGTTAGCCATTTCTAGTGAAATATAAGATATATCACCTGATTCTTACCTAACTATAATCATTAGATATGGCTAATTGTATTATTTACAGATAAATGCTCTGTTCGACTTATAGTCAGTAAGTTTGTTTAAGTCAATTATATAAGCCAAGTGAAATTTTGGGCTCAATTTGGTGGTATTAAGTAGAGTGAGTTTTCTTTCCTGTTGTTTCCTAGTGTGTATATTATCAAAAATTGATGGCTTTTCTTGTGCCTCTGCTACTTGCTAATAAAAGTGATACCTTTCTTCCAAAGACCATTAGTTTACTCCTTGACCTCTGAAATAACCCTCAGTGACAGCTGAATGGGTTCTTTTGTGTACTGATTGCTTTTCTCCAGGCAGCCACTAAGTAATGAGCAGAGCATGGTTTCCCTCTCCATTTATAGCTTTGGAAGGGTGAAAGGGACAGGGTTGGGACTCTCCATATATGGTCCTTGGAGAGTTGGAAAGAGTGGTTGGGGTGCTCTTGGAGGCAGAAAACTAGACATGATGAGATAAAAATAAATTGGCAGGGGATGTTTGCAATTGAAATTCCAAACCCTCTGAGGAGGGCAGAGGGTGCTGGGAAAGGGGCATATGTAGAAAGTCAGATCTGCTGCATTATTTGTCTCCTTCCATTTGAAGATTTGGCTATGACACATACTTCCAAAGTTCGTGTTTCTAGTTTGTTTTCTATAGCTTTGTCTTGCATGGTTGTGACTGTCCTTTATGCAAAGAAAGAAATGTTTTTAAGAAAAAGAGAGTGTATTTTTGGAAACCTCAGTTCTCTAAGACATCATTTGAGGCACCAGAAAAGACGTCAAGAAAGGGAAAATGGGACAGGTGCTTATGCAGGGGTAGGCTGGCTGGCTAAGGGCGGGTGGCTCTAATTATGTCTGAAGATGCTCTTTATGTATATTATCCTTTTATTATTCTTTTGCTTGTCTGGATTTCTGGCCTCAAGGAACATATTTTTAAAGTATCTTGTCAGTTGTCCACTGTATTTAAAGATACTATATTTGCACAGAAGTTCTATAAAAATTATCAGGAGTTATTTTAGTTTGGTGAGCGTAGGTACAATATCGGTTTTGGAATGTAATCTCACTTTTAGGAGAATTTTATAGTCTTAGTAATGCCTATGAATTAAGTCAGAGGTGACCTGGTTTTGTACTGTTGAGTTAGAAAGTATTTGGGAGCCCACCAAGGAAAAGGGCTGTTGTCTTTGAAAAGAGTGAAAAAGCAGAGTGAAATCCAGTAAAGAGATGGGAAGGAGCAGAAAAGGCAGAGTCAGAGAAGGAATAGAGGCTGAATGTGGCTTAATTTTGAAGCTGGAGCTAAGTCCTTGTTTTGTTTTTTGAAATACATACAATAGCATAAGATGTACTGTTAAACTCAGGAAACTGAGCTAATAATCAGAAATATCCATTAAAAATAATGACAAAATGGAAGGGTTGGACAAGATAATGAAGTGTTCCAGGTTTTGTCTATGGGCTTATATAATGACATTCATTTGTTGTGTGTTATGTGGCAGAAAAAAGTCAAATAATTCCCCATCTTCTCCTCCCCCCCCGAAAAGAAACTGTTCTACTGGCTTTGATGCTTTTAGCTATCATTTTGAGTTGGGAGACTAGTGAATTGTCTGCAGGTATTAGTGTGTTGCTTCTTAACAGTGTCTGAGACTGGGACACCAATATGGCTTTGACTTCAGTTTTAAATTTTAGTAGAGTTAGTAAGGAATACAGACTATATAAGTAATATGTTTTACTAGCTAATTTATGTAGGAAATTGTTTTTGCCCTGTATTTCTTCTTGGAATCAAGGGTATGGAAGGTATTCTTTACTTTGGGAAATTCTTCTTTCTGTCCTCCTTGCCTCGCTTTTTCCAAATTCTGGGCACATAGCAGCTCTCTCTTTTCTGTGGCAGGTGTGCATCCTATTGGCTGGCTGGTATTTCTTGTTTTTTCCCCCCTCTTTATTCTTTTTAAGTGGGGGAGGGAGTATAAAATATATGTATGGGTACATGCAATAATGTTGTAATGTTTCTTGTTGTTTAATTGATAATTAATTGCAAAGTAATTGTTTGATTGATAACATGTTTGAGTAAATGCTAAATTAGTTTTTTTTTTTCTAATGTAATAATGAATTTGAAATCTAGCATTCTTGTAACAATGTGTCTATGTTTGTCTGTCTGTGTCTGTCTAATAGTAATTAATATCTGTGGTCCTTACCTGGAAGAGGAAGTACAGCTTTAAAGAATAACAAAAGACTTTGTGTCTTAGACCCTTCGCAGGTGTTACAGTCGGGTGAAAGAACATGGTGTTGGGAAAAGAAAGAGCAGTTACACATTTGAACAGTTGGAACAGGTGTTTGGTCAGGGAGGATGGGATGCTCAGCCCTGCCAGCCTGTACTTATTAACAGTAGTGGCTTGTACCAGGAGCTGGAGTCAGATGGCAGCACTATGGAGGACTATTCACAGGAGGACTGGGGAAACCACAGTCAGGATCTCCATGGCTATCCAACAGATCAGGATTTGGGTAAGAACATCAGTAGATACGACATTGTGTGTGTGTTTGCTTGCTTGGTATGTGTCCTGGCATGTTCTATCGGATGATGTCTTCTGGTACTCTTTCCCCTGTCCACACAAGAATCACCAGTCTGTTTAGGACAGTATGAGTATCTTTGGTATAGCCTCAGACTGCCAGCTAGTACTTGAAGGTTTGGAGACCATCTTCTTAAAAGCAGAATTGCCAGGTGCCAGTGGCTCCTGGCTGTAATCCTAGCTACTTAGGAGGTTGAGGTCTGAGGATCACAGTGCGAAGCCACCCATGCAGAAAAATCTGTAGGACTCTTATCTCCAATAAACTACTCAGAAAAAGGTAGAAGTGGCATTGTGGCTCAAGTGGTAGAATGCTAGCTTTGAGCACAGAGAGGCTCAGGGACAGTGCCCCAGCCTTGAGTTTAAGCCCCAGGAGGACTGGGGGTGTGTGTGATAAAGCAGAAGAATTAATTCTTAGTCAAGAAGGTTCAATGACAGGTAGAATCCTACACAGTTCTAAATACCCTGAAAGTAATATTGACTCTTGGCCCAACTACCGTAAGTGAATCTTTCCATTCATTCCATCTGTGATTTGGAAAAGAGCCCCTCCCAGACTTTAATCTGAACAGGAAATGAGATGAAGTCTTGGTTTATAATGAGAAGAGTTGATATGTAGTCGGTGTCAGTGATCACACTCTACCATACTTCTAAGGGTTTCCACATGACTGAATACTGTGATGATTTACATACAGTGAATATGCTCAAAACGGAAAATGAAATTCCCTGTCATCAGGTCTCAGTTTGTGTGACACGATTAAGGTGTTCTTGTTTGCTAGTTTCTTTTTGCATTAAGTACTCCAATTCTGATTTTGATTATTTGGAAGTACTGATCCAGTTTCTGCTGCAACATTATATACTAAATAGCCAGGTGTATAATGAGTGTTTACTTTAAATATTCTTCCTCTTCAGTGAGGTACTCAGACAACCCCTAAGGAAGTATATGTAGATTGGTCATATATAGAGTTGTTTCCCTTCCATAAGGTGCAAGTCTACAGGCTCTGTTTTTACAGACTTCCTGATGGTAGATAAATGCTAATTAAAAGGATAAAGGATCAACTGATAATAAGTCTCTTACAAATATGGTTTTTAAATAGTCTCAAATATTGGAAGAAAGAGGCTATAAAACTGCAAGACTGGTAAGAGTTAAGAATTAGAAAAATATGAAGGACTTACCAAAATGATCACTACTTTTTAATTTCACAATAGCAATAAGGTCTATATTACGCTGTTATTCTACAACCTTGATTTTACCCTACAGAGTTAAGTCACCCAAACCTTTGGCAGCATGGAGGGGGAGGCAAAATATGCTGATCCTGATATGTGGGGTATAATTGTTCTGTAAAACCTACACAAAAAATCTAAGTAGAACAGAATTATTTCATTTTTGTTCCTTTAAAATCATGTCTGCAGTGAAATTAAGCTTTAAGCTCCCAGCCAGAAATCCCCTGGTGACCTTGAAGAATTTTATACTTGTGGAGCTGGTTTCTGATCTTGCATATAAATGTATGCATCTCATTATATAAGAGTTATATTTATAAAACTAGCATTAAACAATGTTGGACATCAGAATTCAGGCCTAGTATTGCAAAGTATGGAATGCACAGTAAATAGAGCTGCTTATCTACATAAATGTTTGCCATCACTTAGGAAAATATAATCTGTTTCAATTGTTTGCTTTTCAGATGAAATACCTGTCACAAAAAGAACACTAAAAATAAAACAAGAGTCTTCTGAAGAAGCACAGTAAGTAAATGCTTCACCTTTGCATGAAGTGGGTCTGCCTAAGTTTATTGGCATTGGGAGAATTGGTGGGTAGTTAGACATTAAAGTTCAGCTGTACCTCCTTCCATTAGTTTAAAATTTCCAGCAGGAACCTGAAATGGTGAGAATTTTACAAAGTGCAAAAAAGAAATAATAGGGGCTAGGATGTAGCTCAGTGGCAAAGTGCTTGCCTAGCAAGTGCAACGTCCTGGGTTCTATCCCCAGTACCAAAAAAGAAAAGAAAAAAAAAAAAGAAAGAAATAATAGATGAAAATAGTGTAGATGGTGTTTACCTATATTTTAATAGTTAAATTTGATCTTTAAATAAGATAAAAAGATGAGTCACAGAGACTTAAGCATATTTGGGAGTAGATGAAATGATAAGAAAGCCACATAAATATATAAATTCCTTACAGTCTTAAAACTTGGAAATCAAAAAGTAAGAACTTATGTAATAATGAGATGTACAAGACACTATGTTGAAAATGAACTTACAACCTGGGGGAGGGGGGCCAGGAGGGAGGAGTTGGGGAGGTAGGGAGGGAAGAGATGGTAGGAGAAAAACAAAGGAGGGGGTAACAATGCTCGATAGGAGGGCTGGGAAGGTGGCTCAGTGGTAAAGCGTTTGCCTTGCATGCATGAGGCCCTGGGTTCGATTCCTCAGCACCACATAAGCAAAAAGAAAAAAGCCGGAAGTGGCGCTGTGGCTCAAATGGTAGAGCGCTAGCCTTGAGCTGAAGAGCTGAGGGACAGCACCCAGGCCCAGAGTTCAGGCCCCACAACCTGACCCAAAAAAACAAAACAAAACAAAAAAATGCTCGATAGGAAATGTACTCATTACCTTACTCATGTAACTGTAATCCCTCTGTACAGTAGCTTTGCAATGATACATACATTTTTAAAAAGTAAGAACTTAGATGACCTATTTCCTCATTTGGAAAAGAAAGTAGCTCCTGGAGGAAGGAGTGAAAAGTCCAGATATGGGACAAAATTGTTTTGTTCCCTCTAAGATTTAAACATTTTTTGTTAGGCTTACGGTTGTTCTCAATAGGCAAGTTAGTTTCTGTTGAAATTTATTAATGAGAATACATTACACTTTAGTTAGACGCAAGTGGGGATCGCTGTTTTCCAACTGGTAATCTTGCAGCATCCTTAGCACCCACTTGTTCTTGTGTGTTTCATTCCATGCATGTAATCTTGATTTCTGAGAGAGAGGAGGGAAAAAAAAGGAGGCAAGTTGAAAAAGACTGTGCTAGATAACAAGCAGTACCTCAGGGGCACAGAAGTAGGGTTTTTTTGTTTTTGTTTTTGTTTTTTTGCCAGTCCTGGGGCTTGAACTCAGGGCCTGGGCTCTGTCCCTGAGTTTTTTTTGCTCAAGGCTAGCATTCTACCACTTGAGCCACAGCGCCATGCCCAGCTTTTTCTGTTTATGTGGAAGTGAGGATTGAACCCAGGGCTTCATGCATGCTAAGTAAGCACTCTACCACTGAGCCACATTCCCAGCTCCAGAAGTTTTAATTCCACAAATTACTACTACTATCACCCTTTTACCGGCAACTGTTTTCCTTTTCAAAATATCTCTTTGGAATTAAAGAATTCCCTATGTTACTTGATCCCATGTTTGGGAAGACGTAAGTATTCAAAGATTAGAAATTATTTCCCAAAGTTGTAGTCATTTCTCCAACCCTCAAAAAAGAAAGCTTATGACAAAAATCAGTTATGTTTCAGGCCATTACTTGTGGAATTTAGTTAACTTTAAGACTATGACATCAAAGCTTACCAAAGGAAAGGAAACATTACTATTTTTAAAAAGGAATTATTAGGCTGGGAGCTGGTGGCTCACACCTGTCCTAGCTACTTAGGAGGCTGAGATCTGAGTATCGTGGTTCAAAGCCAGCCTGGGCAGGAAAGTCTGTGAGACTCTTACCTCCAATTTACCACCAGAAAACTGGAAGTGGTGCTGTGGCTCAAGTGGTAGAGTGCTAGCCTTGAGTTGAAGAACTTAGGGACAGCACCCAAGCAAGCCCCAGAGTTCAAGACCCGCAACCAACCAAAAAAACAAAAAACAAAACAAAACAAAAAACCCCAAGGAATTATTAGACCTGGGAGCAGTGTCTCACCACTGTAATCCTAACTGCTCAGGAAGCAAAGACTTGGGAGGATTGCAGTTCAAGGTCAGCCTGGGTAAGAAGTTTGTAAGACTCCTATTTCAACAGAAAAAGCTAGGTGTGATGATGTGCACACCAGTCACCCAAGTATAAAAAGGAAGCATTTAGGAAAATCAGTCTAGGCCAGCCCAGGGAAAGAGCTAGACCTGTCTAAAAATTAAAGCAAGTGGTAGAGCTTCTGCGTAGCAAGTGTAAGGTCCTGAGCTCAACCCCCACCCCCACCCCCACACACAAGAGCTACTGGCTTTCTCTTTCTCCTCTCTATCGCTTGAGACCTATAGAGGAGCTCAGCTGATCCAAGTGGACACACACTTTAACTTCACAGGGCTGGCGCGCACAATTTCAGACCACTTGAGTTTTAAAAATTTATTGTGAGAATACTGTACAGAGGGGCTGCAATTACATGGGCAAGGTAATGATACATTTCTTATCAAGCGTTCTTGCCTCCTCCTTTATTTCCCCTTCCCAACCCTTCCTATCTCCCCCCAATTTAAAAAAAAAAAAAAAAATTTTTAATTTTTTTTTTTTTTGGTGGCTGGAGCTGCAGAAACCAGGAAGTATAGTAGATAGTCTTTGTGCTCCCTTACTTTGGGACTCTAAGTCCCTTGAGCTCAGATTGGCTTCCAGCTAGCTTAGCAGGGCAGGAAACAGGCTCTAGAGAACTATCTAGTTTGTGCTGCCCCTTTTCCAGGTTTCATCTCAGGAACAAGATTTTCTAAATAGCTTCCTGAGAGGTCATTTATTCCCCAGTGCAGTAGTTTCTTCAGAACTGTCACTATTGGTATCTGATTATTGCATTCCTGCTGTAGGGCTATGACTTCAGAAGAGGACAAGGAAATGTGGCTATGAAAGTTTTCCTTTAAGGCATTGACCAACATAAGTGACTGAGTGCTTTCATGGCTCCCGAGGAGAGGACTAGTTTCCTTGGAACACAGTGATTTCATCTAGATGGCCACTCTTGGACACTTGAGGAGCTTGCAAGACAAACTAATAGGTAGAGGGTAAATCCAGGGCAGGCTTAGGCCCCAAGAAGCAGCTGATGACAAAATGTTAGCTCTTTGTCTTCTTACAGAGCAAGTCTGGGAGAATAACAGGGCAGACTAGATAGTACAGACAGTAAGAGTAAAGCTTCCCCCCCAAATTCCGGAAGCTGTTTCCCTAAAGTTACAAGAATTTATTACAAAAGTCTGAAACCTCCTTGAAAGAATCTATTAGCAAATTTTTCTTGCCTGTTGATTGTGAGTGCACTTGTTGAGTGCTTTTGAATCTAAGGCCTGTAATTGAGAGAATATATTTGTTTATCTAGCAAACCAATCTTACAGTGTTAAAATTTTGCCATACTCGAGAAACTTATAAATGCTAATATATTTATATAAATTGCACAAATGTCAGTTTACAAATCATGAGTGACCTGTGAAACGAGAATCTCATGCTTTTTTTTTTTTTTTTTTTTTTTTTGTCGGTTGTGGGGCTTGAACTCTGGGCCTGGGCGCTGTCCCTCAGCTCTTCAGCTCAAGGCGAGCGCTCTACCACTTGAGCTACAGCGCCACTTCCAGTTTTCTGGTGGTTTATTGGAGATAGGAGTCTCACGGTCTTTCCTGCCCGGGCTGGCTTTGAACCGGGATCCTCAGATCCCAGCCTCCTGAGTAGCTAGGATTACAGGCGTGAGCCACCAGCGCCCGGCATCTCATGCATTTTTTTATCTTATCAAAATCAAAATAAACTTATAGTGCCTTGACAGAAAGTTTTCTAGAATAATATCAATTCATTGTGTTGAACGTGTGTGTGTGTGGGGGGGGGTGGTGCCAGTACTGGGGCTTGAACCCTTGGTTTTAGGGGAAAAAATATGTAAGTAATGGAAAATAAATTCCTAGGAACTCTGTAGGGGGTGTTCTTGGATTTAGGGTAAAATGTCTATTATATCAGACAGCCAGGTAAAAAACATTTTTATCATCACAGAAAGTTCTGTTGGACAGCACTGTTCTAGACACCGGAGGAATTTGACTGTTACTTTTCTTTTTAGGAAGCGAGACATTATGCAGAATATTGTACAAATTTTGGAATCAGTACAGTTGAAATGGGAACTGTTTCAGAGCTGGACAGACTTTTCAAGACTTCATCTTTCTAATAAACTGGCCATTTTTGGAATTGGTTATAATACCCGTTGGAAAGAGGATATCCGGTACCATTATGCTGAGATCAGCTCCCAGGTGCCCCTTGGCAAGCGCCTTCGGGAGTACTTCAACTCCGAGAAGCCTGAGGGACGGATCATTATGACTCGAGTACAAAAAATGAATTGGAAAAACGTGTACTACAAATTTTTAGAGATCACTATTAGTGAAGCTAGGTGCTTGGAGCTGCACATGGAGATTGACTGGATACCCATTGCCCACTCCAAACCAACTGGTGGGAATGTTGTTCAATATTTATTGCCAGGAGGGATTCCAAAAAGCCCAGGCCTTTATGCCATCGGCTACGAAGAATGTATTGAAAGGCCACTCACACCTCACTTGGAGCGACGCTCTTTAGACCCAGGAAAAGAAGGCCGGGTTGACCTGGAAAGCCTTTCAGCACAAGCCTCATTACAGGTGGAAATCGAGCCCACCCGAATTATCTATTGCTACCTCGGGATTGCTGAGGTCAGGACTCTTCAGCAATGTTTGTTTTTACATTTCCAAGCAAATACCAAAACCTTCAGCAAAGATTGGGTTGGTATTAATGGGTTTTTGTCTCAGAACTGTATTGTGGATCCTGGAGTTTCTCCCAAGTCCATCTATATCAAATTTGTGGAAGTAGAGAGGGATTTTCTTTCCGCTGGCTCTTTAGTTGAGTGCCTGGAAAAAGCCATTGGATACCCCTTGAAATTTAACAATTGAATGTCATCCTTCATAAGGATGTGGGCTCATCCTTCCCTCTTCTACTTATTTCCCAGTATCCTGCCCACCCTCATCCAGATGCTGCCATCAGACTCTTCATGGACACTTTCTCCACGACTGGGCCAGTACAGCCTCTTAAGGAATCATAGTAGACTTGGGCAAAAAAACAGACCTCACCTAACAAACGCTCATTTTGAGCAAGCAAGATATCCAGTGGACTTGCATGGTGGGTCAGTCATTTCTTTTTTAAAGATCAACAATTTTTAAATGGATTTTAGAGCCCTAATATAAACAAGTGTAGGTACATTCCATATTGGACAAAACTTATACTTTGAGTTTCATATAAAATTGAAAAATTGTATTTTTTTCACAATGTTTCATTTTTACACATCTCTATGTCTCTATATAAGTATTATTTACAACCCTGAATAAATAAGCAATAGATAATGGCAAGTTAAAACTTGAGTCACAGTAAATAAGACTTTTTCAGTATCACCTTTAGCTACAATTGTATATAATTTAGTTTCATTTTTTTCACCAACCAAGTGTTTTTGCTATTTCCAATCAGTGTTGCCTGCGAAGACCTTTGTTTCTGTGATGTACCAACTTTATGGTTGTGTTGCCATTTAAAATTTTTATATATTAAAAGTATTAAAGTAATTCCTGATCTGTTGGCATAGTTGAGCTTTCTGTAGCGGTGTGGCCACCCACCCCCACACCACCACACTGGTGAAGGCGACAGCGCTCTGCCTCTGCTGCTATGAGTGAACAAAGCAAGATCACTCTGCACTCGCTCTATGTATGTCCCAATGACCACGATCACTGTTTCTTGTCTGAGTGCCAAAGATCTCCGAATATATCTCATTGGTGTTCTTTTTTTTTTTTTTTTTTGAGAAAAAGGATATTCCTTCTGATCTTGGGAACATAAATTTGTAAGAGACTTTCATTTCTCCCTAGTTCGTATACTCAGTACTCAGACAAATCACATGACAGGTACAGATAGAAACTTGATATCATCTTGCTGTGTTTAAAACAGGAATAAGGATCCAGTGGAAACATTAAGCACACACACACTTCCATTTGGAAGATAACTTGTGTTCAATTTTTGTTTTTAGACATTTCCAGCGGATTAGCCACCACTTTACTTGGAGGTTAGTGTTCTTGGCTAAGAATAGCTTACTATTATTACTGCTTAGAGCAGTGGCAAGATCACTTTGGTCTCATGACAGGAACTTCTTAGGTTAATTAATTTAATGCATCCCCAACACCTCTTAGGTGCTTTGTTTTAATTTACTCCAAGTCCAGGTAAAAGCTGTAATTCTCCCAGCTTCAATATAGTATTAAAAATAGTGTTTACATTGTTAAAAATGTTCTTTCCCCACAACCTGACTGATCTCAAATCAGTGATTTCAGATTCTGGTACCTTTTGGCTCTTTAATGCTTAGTTGAGTCTGGGCTTATGGAGCTGGCTTTTTTCTGGTGTGAGTTACTAAAAATAGGTGCTAGTTCTGGAAGAGTATAAATGCCCTATTTGTGGCTTGTAAGGCAGAGCCTTAGGAACTTATAAGTCTCTTTGGGATTTGAAATTGTGGGTCCCAATGCAGTAGATTTTCTTGTTGAAATAATCTCATAGTAGTTAGTGTTAAGTGAAAAAAAGTATTATTACCAAGATTATTACATGGCATTTCCAAAACTGACACTGACCAATCCCAGAACTGATATTAGTACTTCAGGCATTTTTTCCCCCTCCATCCTATTTGCTGTTTTATGGCTAGGGAAGGACATTTTGGGAACACTGAGGATGTTCTGCACCTACCTACTGCTCCTGAGAATGGAGCATCACTGGACAACTGACGAGTCAGCATGGAGAAGATGACAGTGTGAGAGCAGTGTTTTTACCATTTGGTTTGAAACTGGTTGGGTTAGGGAAAGAGGACAAAACCAAGCATTGGAAAAAGGCATGCCAAAAAAAAGTAGCTTAATGATACAGAAAATCCTGTTTCTGGACAGAACAGAGATTGCTGAATAACAGCATTGCTAAAAACAAGGAATAGACTATTGAGGCCTTATTTAATTAATTTCTGATTCAGGAGGGACAGACACTATATTCATACAACTGAGGAAACTTTGAGGAAGATCTAAGATACGTGATTAGAAGAAGTCTTACTATACTATGAACTTAGCAGTCACACATGGTCATGTTAATAATCAACTTAAAAAAATAATTTTAAGATACAGAGAGGCTACCATTTCATAAGTCTGGTAATGAATGCATTTTTCCCCCACAATGTCACCCCTTTTATTGTCACCCTTTCATCCCTGCCCACAAGTTACATTTTCCACATAGTGTCTACCGAATAGCATGATTACATTTGTTCACCCCTCCTCATGTTAACAACTCTCTTTCCCATGTGTCAAGTTATTAGCGATCTGAATTCTGAAGGAAAAAGCTACAATAAGTGACCGTTAAGGCTCTAATTTACACAGAGCACACTTGTATGATTAAATGAATCATAACTAAGACTACTGCCTTTCTAGAATGGGATTATTTGAGGTGACAACTCTGGTCTGGAACAAAAGTACAGGAGACGCTTTGTAATGTACACTAAAATCAAAAAAATTTTGAGGGTGGTAGAATAGGAGAAACCAACAGTCTCCCACCCTACTCTTTGGCCATCCTCATTCCAGCAGATGTGACCTATTCGTGCAGTCAACTGAGCTGCCAAGTGTCAGATTCCAGGGATGACGAGAGCAGCCCAGTGTTTGCATAGGTGTTTCTCATAGCCACTGCATAACAGGTATTTGAGGAGCCAGGCATGCCACACTTGCTCCACTGTGCACAGCACATCCACACTGTGTCTGATGGGGCCACAGGGATCATACTCAAAGGATGAATTGTGTGGAGTACGTACAATCTGCTAGGCCTGGCTGCTTTTATTCCTACACATTTGTGCCTCCTTCGAAGTGGGCAGCACCGGGAATTCGTGGTTATGCCTTCTGCTCCCCGTGATCTTTGCCTCTGTCTTGGAAGTTTTGTTGTTTCTCTTAGGAACAGGTGCGCGCACTTCCGAGAGGGAGCCGCCGCCGGCAGGGGGCGCGCGTGCGCCTTGGCCTCCGGGCGAGGGCGGGGGGGGGGGGGGTGCGCCCGGCGGTTCAATTAAATTCACTGCGAACAAGATGTAGTCCCGGGAATTAAAAGATCAGAGCGGGCTTAAGCCGTTCGCTGCAGTGATGGGAGTTAGCGAAGATACCGGGGATGAGGAAGAATGGGGAAACCGTCCTGTCCGCCTCTGCGCAAGCCTCCTCCTCCTCGGCTCCAGTCGGCAGAAGGCCTGGAGGCTGTTCATTCCCCTGGAAAGGAGCTGGGAAGGAACGCAGTGCCTTGGTTTCCAGCTCAGCTCCACCTTGCGCCACTCTTCCCAGTTCAGGATGTGAGTCAAAAGGCCCCGGCGATCCTCAGGCCAGATCTTTGCTGGGTCTGTGGGAATCGCCCCGAGCCGGGGCTCGGAGGGGCGGCGCGCGCGCCCTCGGGCCGCCAGGTGGCTGGGGAGTTGGGGTGGGGTGCGGCCAGAGCCCTTCCGGCCGCGCACCCGCCCCTCCCGGCGCAGGGAAGTGGTGGATGGCAGCTGCGGACGGAGGCGCTTCCCGCCGCGCAGCGCTCTGCCCGGCCTTCCCAAGGCTGACCCGGTCAGAGCCCCGTGCTCGGAGCAGGTTATTCGGGCTCTTCACAGTGTCAGGGGTGTGAGCGGCTGCTGGACTTCAGACTCTCCAGATTCCCTCCAGTCACCCCCTTCCTCCTTCCCGGGGGCAGTGTATGACGCACAAGTGTCCCTTCTTGTTCCCTGGGTCAGTTCGTGAGATGTCACGACTTATCCGACCCCTGCCCGAGGTCTGACAGCTGAGGCCACCGATCTCAGGGTCCAAGCGCTGGGAGCACTCCCCTCCTCTCCCCCCCCCCTCCTGCCACGGGTCCTGCCATCCCGCCCCGCCCCCCGGGCGGCGACCTCTCCACCCTCCCCATGCCCCGCCCCTGTCGCCGGCGGCCACCACCCCACCACCAGCACACAGCACACTTGAGCCAGAGCTGCCCTGGTCAGTGGCCTGGCTCCCGCGCACGGTCCAGTGGCCGTGCAGCTTGGCCCTTGTTGGGCAGTGTGCTCCAGGACTGTCGTCCCTGACCAGGTTGGAGCCAGGAAGACCATGATTGCTCTGGCTGGCCCCCCTACAACCAACTTGTGGCGGGTTTTGTTCCTGGGATTGAGTACTGTCGGTGAGTCAAACCCGGGGCCAGGAAGGACTGGGGATGGAGGAGGGGGTGAACCTGACCCTGTAGGAGGACTTTGCACATGGATGAGGAACTTAATTGGGTGGGTGGGCCTACCGCTTGAGACTGGCTCTCTCCCATCGTTCCTCAGCCTAGGGTAGCGTTGGCTGGTGGGGATTGCCGCATCCTATGGCAGCAACAGCCCGTAGTTTGGGTGTGGGGTAGGGGTTGCGAGGGGATAAGGCCATCTTCATCTCCAGGCCAGACTGGGATACTTGTGATATGTGGTACCAGAACCATTTCCCTCTCCAACCCCCACTCAGCAGAGCTGGATGAGCTGATGCCTCCCTGAGACACCGACTAAAGAGCTTAAGGATTTAACTCCAGACCTCCCTCTTCCACCTCCCCTTCCCCCCAACTCAAGCCAATGTGAAACATTGGTCCCCAGCCTCGACATGGACGCCACCTACTTCACTGTCGATTTCCCAGCCCGGTTCCTGCGCTTGTCCCCTCCTGCTTCCTGCCCTGGAAATCCAGGGAGGTGCCCCCAAAGAATGACCATGAGGTCATGGACACAGGAAATGGAGGAAGGATTGGGATCCTAGAGGAGCCGAGTGGTCACATCATACCCCCAGACTCATTGTACCCAGCCGGAACAGGGGAAGAGGAAGGAGTGAGGAAGGGAAAACCCTAGAGCAAGTGCTTAAGCAGTCTGGAAGCATTGGGGCCATCTAACTTCAAGAGTAGCTGCGGGTGAGCCCATGTTATATCTTAGGGAGCAAGGACCTAGTAGGAGCAAGCCATTCCATTTGCTGCCTTCCGGACTGCTGCTGCTGCTGCTGCTTCTGCTTCTGCTCCTTGGGTCTCCATCAGGGTTTGGGGGCATCTGCTTTGACTCATTTCTTAGTTGGAGGATGCCAGAGCAGAGTTGGAAGGATGAAGAGTGAAAATCATGGGCTGGCAAGTTGGCTCAGTGGTAGAGTGCTTGCCTGGCATGCATGAGGCCCTGGGTTCGATTCCTCAGCAGAAAAAAAAAAGCCGGAAGTGGCGCTGTGGCTCAAGTGGTAGAGCGACTAGCCTTGAGCTGAAGAGCTGAGGGACAGCGCCCAGGCCCAGAGTTCAGGCCCCACGACCGGACCCCCCCCCCCCCAAAAAAAAAGTGAAAATCAGCTACCATGATGGGGACCTCTTAGCTCCTTTACCTAGAGTAAGTAGTCTACGTACCAGTCTATTCAGGGTATGAAGTGTTCATATCCCCAGACAAAGGAGTCTTATGAGTATCTCCCAATCTCCCCAAAGTATACAGCTTCCTGCCCTCTAGACTTGGTGTACCTGATCCAGAACCCCTTGGCTTCCAGCTCTGCCTTTGCACCTGAAGCCTCAGTGCCTTTTTCCCTCCTACA